TCCCCCCCCCCCCCAAAAAAAAAAAAAAAACCTTTCCCTCCCTGGATAGCCTTGACAGACTCTTCCACCAATTCCCTGGTGAACACTAATCCAAACCCTTGGATCTTAAAACAAGGAGAAATTAACCATCCCCCCTCTCTTTCCCCCACCAATTCCTGGTGAGTCCAGATCCAAACCCCTTGGATCTTAAAACAATGAAAAATCAATCAGGTTCTGAAAAAGAAGGCTTTTAATTAAAGAAAAGAAAGGTAAAAGAAAAACCCTCTGGGAGAAATTAGCATACCAGCTACTCTCACAGACAACAGATTTAAAACACAGAGGATGTTCCCCTGGCAAAAACTTAGTTATACAAAAATTACCCAGTTTGATTATTCCCTAATGCCCAAGACAAGTTACAAAGAAAATAAACATAAACCTATTTATTTCCTTCACTAATACTCACTACTTGATAAGAGGCTGATTTTTGAAGCTTTCCCACTGTGGTCAAAACTGAAACTAAACTTTAAACAAAGTTTTTGAACAATTTTATCCCCCATTGGTTTCTCTGGTTAGGTTTGAGCTAGGCTAGGTGAACTTTTTAACCCTTTACGGGTAAGAGGCATTAACCCATAATTATCTGTTTATGACAGCTTCCATCACACATCCCTCCATTTTGTCCAGAATTCTGTCACCACGCTTACCAACTTCGCTCAACATGGCAACCCTCTCTCAGATTCACTTCCGTGACAATACATCTTCTGCATCAAAACTAAACTCCTCATCTACTCAAGCTACCATATGCAAGGCTGTGCAAGCAATGTCCCTGCCTTCATCTAATCATTCTCATTTAATGCCACTCCCTTACTTAGCCCCTGTACTCTATAGTACTGCTTTCCTTTGTGCAAACTTTGTATCCTACAAGTGCCTCAAATATAGGACCAGCTCTAGACACCAGCAAACCAAGCACGTGCTTGGGGCAGCATTCTGGGTGGTTTGTTGTTGTTGTTTGTTGTTTTTGCTTGGGGCGGCAAAAAACCTAGAGCCGGCCCTGCTCAAATATTGCTTAAATGTGTCTATAATTGCATAACTTTCCTAGAAAACATTTTATTTTAAAGGATATCTGAACTGGGAAAGGAGTCTGATAGGCTATATCCTTACTTTTGGATAACAGGTTTCACCTTCATATTTCCATGAGTCCTTTTTCTATATTGTCAGATGCTGCCTTGCAAAGGCAACCCAGACAACAGTATATTCTGATAGTACAAAATGGTCTATGTAGGTGTAGTTCTTTGTTTTTTATTTTAAAAATAATCTTTATGGTGTACTGTATAATTACTTGACTACTTATGACTGTACGTGTTTTATGTGATGGTTTATTGCATGTAATACAGAGAAGACTTTCATGTAAGTATAATACAAATTGTTAAATGTTATCATCCACAGTTCTGGTGAGATTAGGCCTCTTAAAATATGACTTTTGGGCCTCTTAAAATATCAGGTAAATTACTGATGTATGTTGGCGTGGTTACAGGGCTGATTGTACCTCGGTCCCTGTGATGAATGAAGTCGGGAGGAGGGGGAAGCTCCCTTTTATGGACACCCAGTTAGCTATAAAATCCCTCTTAGTAGCTGTTCTCTACTTGCTTTACCTGTAAAGGGTTAAAAAGTCCACAGGTAAAAGGAAAGGAGTGGGCACTTGACCAAAAGAGCCAATGAGAAGGCTAGAACTTTTTAAAATTGGGAAAAACTTCCCTTTGTCTGTTCTGTTGTTCTCCGGAGAGAGGGGATAAAGCAAAAACAAGGCTGGGACTATACTGTAAAAAGCTTTTTGTCAGGTATGGAAATCATCAGATCATACCTAAAACCTACTCATAAATCAGAAAATGTCTAGAAAGACGTACTTAGGTTTGTTTCTCTTTATTTTTTATTGGCTTGTGGATTCCTCTGTGCTAACCCCAAATGCTTTTTGTTTTGCTTGTAACTTTTAGGCTGGACTTCAAGAAGATTATTCTTGATGTTTACATTTTGTAAGTGGGTTTTTTAAATCTAGCAAGCCTAAGTTCCAGATGTTATTAAAAACAAAAAGAAAGAAAATACATTGTCCTTTTTTTAAGAACAGCTGATTTCCTTTGTTTTCTTTCTCAGCTTCCCCAGAGGTGGCGTGAAAGGGCTTGAGGGTACTTCACAGGAAGGAATTCCCAAGTGCGCCTTCCTGGGTACCAAGGGGTTTTACATTTGGGTGGTGACAGCATCTACCCATCCAAGGTCAGAGAGAGGCTGTAACCTTGGGAGTTTAATACAAGCCTGGAGTGGCCAGTATTAATTTTTTGAATCCTTGTGGGCCCCCACCTTCTGCACTCGAAGTGCCAGAGTGGGGAAATCAGCCTTGATAGTCCCATTTCTGATTTTCACATAAGTGTAATTAAATAAACCTTTATTGTCCACAGTTTCTGGTGAGGCTGGTTCAAGTTAAAGATATGAGAGAGAAATTATGGATATGTATTTTGTCATGATTACAGGACTAACTGCCTCCCGTTCCCTTTGAGGACTCTGAGTGCGCCCCCTTAGGTGTTAGGCCTTGTTCCCTTTGCTGTCTTGGGAAGTAACTTTGAGATTCTTCCACTTTTAGACCAAGATTCAGGTGCATCACCTCATCCATGCCAACAGATTTGTTACTGTGGAGGTCTGACTGGACACTTGCATGTCTTCCCTTCTGGAGCCTGTGACCAGTAACATAGTGAACAACAGCTTTTAAATAAGTAGGGCTAATAGCAAACAGAACAAAGCATCAGAGAAAATTAATTCAAAATAACAAACAGTGTACATGCATATTTAGATTTATCTAATCTTCTGCCTTATTACAAGGTAGGTTAGATGGGATTCCCTCCTGAGATACAGGACAAGGGACAAAACTTGCATTGTTTTAGGAAGCCCAGGAGCTCTTGAGACGTAGTCTGTCTTCTGAAGAGTCTCCCAAACTGCTCTCCTGTTTAGAAAAAAACCTCCCTTTTCTCAAATTCTTACCTTTCCTGTGTGTGCCTGAACCTATTTCCCATATTGTTCAATGGACTTCATTACAGAACCTAGGCATGAAGTCTTTCCTTTTCCCTCAGACTAGTTTTTCCTAGTCAGTCAGCCAGGCCATCTAAGAACGTGGCCTTGTGACAGTTGCTCTGTTGTTTGGCAGTTAGATCCATTCAGCTTTAATGACTTGCAATCACAGGCCTCATGTCTGCAGGGGAGTGTGCTTTTTTCCTCCATCTCAGGAATCCTATATATAAAACACAGTTTTGGGTCCAAAGCAATATTCATTATCAAGCACCACAACTTTCATCACATGTTTATAAGAAGATGATAGTCTCATTAGAATACTTGTGCTTTCTTTTTAATTGTGCTCAGGTATTGCCATCTGCATGAGGTGTAATGTTGATCATCTAATTAAGTTCTCTTTACTTGCTTCTGCAAAATGGAGTTAGGTTTCCCATGTGTGTGTCTGGGGTAAGTGAGCCTTGTTTATATTTTTCTACGTTGTTTAAATACCATAAATAATCCTGTGAAAATGTCGGGCCATTAGAGTGATGGACTGGTGTAACATGAAAATACTCAGCTGGGGCAAGCCCTATCAGCTGCAGAGAAGTCATGGATCAGACCTGCTATGGTTCAATTGCCTGGGTCAGGCATGACATAGAGATATCATACAAGCAGTCTTCTGCATGCCACAGAGACCAGGGAATGGATAGGACTGTTGCCAGTAGGATCCACTCACCCCAAACCATGCATTCAAGGAGGGATGTGGAGCACTAGGGTAGTAGGCCCTGGCTGCAGCTATGGACCGTGGAAATAATATTAGTAACAGATATGGGAGATGTTATATTTTTCCCTCCCTCAGCACGCACACTGCTCATCTTGTGCAAAGTTCATTGACTAGATCTTTTCTTAGGAACTGATAGTGTCACTCTTAGATTATTATTTTTAATTGCATGGTAACAATTGCTTTTCAATTCTCCTTTAAAGACTCTTTTCCAGTCAGTGTTGTACTTGTTAAATGACTCAGGGAGATAGCCATAAAGGCTGAAGTCCTATGTGTGCTTTGTTTCCATTTAAAAGGAATGGTTTTGCAAAATGCAGTGGAAAAAGAAATGCACTACAGTATTGTGAATATAAATAACATTTCATCAGGTTAAACAACTCAGGATAGACCAATTTAAATGGAAAAAGAACAAATCCCAAAAGTTTATAAACTATAATACAATTTTTATAACTTTAGAAAATAAATACTTTCAAAGGCTGTTAAATCTATTCCATATTTCCATTAAGTGCTATTAAATTAACATAGTTTTGTAGTGGTATCTTAAAAGTGCTTAATTCCCATGGCTTATAATAGAGCCATTTGTTATTCAAATTGCTGCAATCATTATAAGCAAAAGAATGCCAAGTCATTAATGCAAATTATAAACTTAGTCCAAAGTTAGAAATAAATTTATGCAAATCTTTCCAACAATATTTACCATAAAATGAAAAATAATCATTATACTGCACAATCTTAGCACAACACATATATGTGCTGCATTACTTTATCAAGGCAATAAGAGATTGGAAATAAAGACTCCATGCTGTTTCATGGTTTAAACTAATGGCTATGACTGGAGCATTTGGAGTTAATATTCCAAAGAGCTGAAACAGCATCATGGTGATTCGGAACGAGTGTCCACCTATAGGGGGTCTGATCCCTCTCAAAACCCTTTTTGGTTCGTGGAAAACAGCCAAACAGGCACAGAATGAGAGGACTGCTCTTTCAGAGGGTACTGTAGATGGTTACAGTCTCTGCTGTACAAGAAATGTTGGAAGCTGCTCCTTTTGATATGAACCATGATATAATCCTGAAATACGTGAAATCACAAAAACATCATGGTAATTTCTGCATTTCCTAGGGGGCAACTAATTTATCTTCCCATCCCATTGCTGCCATGCCATGGGTCCACAGAAATAATAGCATTGTGTTATGTCTAAGGACCTATCCTCCGGAAACAGGACAAAGTATCAACAGTACAGTTGCCAGTTTGAAGGATGTGCTAAAACAAACAGTTAAATGGGTATCCAAGATTAGGCACCCTAGCAAAAATGCACACTTCAGCAACAAGACCCTAGAAGACCACCGCAGCTAGCTGCTGCTGATAATCTGAAGCATGGTTTGATTTTCAAACCAGACACAAACCTGCTGATTCCTGAATCTTTCACCCTACATGAGAACTGCCACCAGAGTGGAAAAAAATGATTGCTTAGAAGACCCTTCACCCCAAAATTCCTTGTGGAGGGCCAGTTCTCCTATGGCAATTTCCACTCAAAAATACACCAAATTCAATACCACCAAAAGTATCGAAGTGAATCTACCCCCAAAATAGATTCTGACCACCAGCATGAGACACTGAGATATCCTTTTAAAAATTGCTGCCAGACCCATAGGCTGTCCTTCAACTCCCTTGTAAATAGAATTAAAAATATTGAGGCCTTTGGAACCTAGTATGGTTTCCTGAACCTGACATAGAAGTTGGTAATATCTGCCCTGTTAGGGTAGTCTAACACCAGCACCTTAGTATTTCCATTTTAAACAAGGTTGGGGAATTTTTATGTGGCAATAAAGCTCTCTCCATCCCAATCAACAGTAGACTTGGTGTTCTCTTGACTGAAAAATATCCACAAGCCTCAGAGATGAGCACAGCCCATGTGATCTCTTTCAGAACCACCCCTTTTGCAATAGGGAACAATTATGAGGTTATTGGGAGGACTTGGTGAATGGGAAGTGGTGGAAGCTTTCTCAACTGTACCAAAAAGTGATGGGAAGAGAAATTGCTATCCCCTCATTCAGGAAAAATATTTGCCCGCCCCTGCAGAGGCTGTTCTCCACCGTCAAGGGAGGAGAGTGTCTTAGTGAGGCCTCCTGCAGAGCTGGGAAGTACCTCACTCCCATTTCCCCTCCTACCTTGAGTGTCAAGTCAAGGGAGCTGCTCAAAGGAAGCCACCCAATCCAGCACTAGTATTGTGAATGCCTTTTTCCCCTGCCAGGACAGTTGGAGGAAAAGATGTAGGTCCCTTGGAGGAAAAGAGGCAGGTGAAGAGCACCTGGCAAGCTCCCCTCTAACACCATCCTGAGACTGGAACAAGAGGGTTGGGTTAGGAGTCAGCTCCTTTCCCTCCCCTGATAGACCTGCCTCTTTTGAGGTGAGGCGAGTCATTGAAACAAAGGCACTAATAATGAGCATATTACTTCCTCGATACTGCAGGTGTCCTGTGTGTGTTTAATCAGTTCAGCCTTGAAGAGAGTAGTCGAGATACTGTGGTCTGATCATCAACTGACATTTTTGAAATGATATTAACTGCGCTTTGTGCTTTTTGTCAGCCTTTTATCTGCATCTTTAAACAGGTGTGATCTTTTAGTTCAAAAGTTTAGATTTAAATTCTGCTCTTGCAAGATCACTGTGGAGATCCTGGTATTAAAGACATTTACTCATATCATCTGGAGATATATTAAGGAATTGCATGTGTTTTTTTAAATTGTCCATCAGAAACCTAATTAGAATAATATGACCTCTGAGCTTATGAGTTTGACAACTCTGGCTTCCATATTTTAAAGCAAGCTGCACATAATGTCTAGGCTGCCAAATGTGCCATAGTAATCCTCTCTATTCCTAACTTGTCTGATTTATTATTCATGACAGGGTCAACTAAAATCACCAGTATTCATAGAACAAGAGGATCCTCACCTTTTGCAATTTGGCCTGCTATCCCACTAATTTGTCATGGAAGCCCTAATTCTTGCCTTCCTCAATATACATAGCTGTCAACAAAATTATCCAAATCCTGGATAAGGCTTAGCATATGTGCATGTCAGAAAACTTATAGCCAAAAGCAGGGGAGCCTGAATAAATTTAGATGCCTTGATTCTCTCTTTCAGAAGTTTAGAGAACTCACTACAGAGGTCCCCAAAGACTTGATACTGAATAGGGGTTTACTGATGTGTGGCCAAATCTCAAAATAATTGGAATGGTGGCATAGTTTTCGAGTGTATGCACCCATTAGTATGAGTGTTCATAATGAGCAATGGTTCCTGAGCAAAATCTTCTATGCAATGTATTACTATTCTTGTTAGGAAGAGAGAGATCTGAGTGCAAGGCTGATATCACACAGAATATGGATGAATGCTAATATGGTTTTGCAACCTATTGCTACCATTACATACTATCCTATGCAGATTTTTTTTAAAGATAGCAACACTAACTAAACCAATTCAAAATTATTCTTAAAAATCCAGAATAAGGTTAGGATAACATGGTACCAAGTGGAAACTTCCTGGAACCTTCACTAGTGCCTACTACAAGTACCTGACTGATTTTAACCAACCAGTATCAATCCAAACTCTCAAACCAGCCTCCAATAAGATCAAAGCCTTTTGTATCAGAGCATGAAATTGATCTCTCTATCCAGAATCATGGACTCACTTAGAAGCAATCAACTGGAAACATATTCCAACTCTTGACAGGTGATGCTCAAGTGATTGAAAGATTCATTTGGGTTCAAAGAAGTGTCCCAAATTTGACCCTTACATGGATTTTGGTCATCAAATGTTGCACAAGCAGACTTTTTAATAAAGCTTAACATGCTGGCAGAACTGTCTGAAATTTTTGTGTTGAAATGTTTTTGGATGAAAAATGACTTAGGAGAAAAAAAATTGGAAAAACAGGAGAGAGCATGGTGTCGCTGATGCCTGAAGCCTCTGCAATATCAGGGAATTGGTTAGGTGAGAGAGGAAGATGGAAAAACCCTCAAGGTTCCTGCCTATCTGACCTGGAGAAAAAAATTCCTTCCCAATGCCTGTTCTGAGTAGATGAGCAAGATACATCGACCAGCCATTTAGAAAGGATTCTCTGTGCCACCTCAGAGTATTGGTCCATCTCACCTGGGGTTCCATCCCCAGCTGTGGCCAATCTTGAATGCTTCAGAGGTAGATGGGGGAAGGGGAAACATAGCATACGTCTGGCCAATTGTGCATTGGTGGAAAAAATTCCGTCTTGACCTTGCAGGTAACCAGCTGAAGTCTGAACGCATGCAATTTGAGTATAGTCCCTATCTTAATGCAGAGCTGCAAATGTTATGAGCATGCTGAGGACAATCCAGAGCTTAATGTTCTCCCCATAGCCCATGAAGGAAGGAGTTGGACGGGGGAACCATTGATTCTCCAAGACCAGAAGGTACCACCACAACCATCCAGCCTGATTTGTCTTGGTCTGGCCTAGGGGGCAGTGGTAAATCCCACCACTGACTGAGCCAGTCCATTGTCAGGGAGCACATATGTACTAACAGAACTGTAGACATCTGATCCAGGGAGCTAGAGACTGTGCTTCATTTGGCAATAAACCTGGCCAGGTGCCTTTGTACCTTATCGGAGTCTGTGGTCAATGGGCAGTTTGCTCGAGATCTGCTGTGCCAGCTATTTGCGCAGA